GGTACTGTGCTTCACATTGCACTACTTCATGCCAACATACCAGCACGGTACTGTGATTCACATTGCACTACTTTATGTCAGTGTACCAGTATGGTACTGTGATTCACATTGCACTACTTCATGCCAATGTACCAGTATGGTACTGTGATTCACATTGCACTACTTCATGCCAGTGAACCAGTGTTGTGGAGAGGGACATCACTCTTCATGGAGTATTATGAATTTGTAAGTGCAGTTTGAAACATATTTGTAATAGCCTGTTAAATAGAACTTCATTATTCATCTTATCTTTCAGTTTAGGATATTATTATTTCTCGATGGTAGAATTCCTTAAAATTGTGACTATAAATTCACGCAATGATAATTAGATTAAGCCTTTACCTCCACCATACATAATGCATTTATCTCACAAATATCTTCTGCATTATATCTTATAAAGTGTTGCTGGTAAATGTAAGAGAAAGTAAGGGGGCAGGTACAAGAGTAGGTTATCCAGGTGTTGAGGAATGGCTTAGTTACTGAAATGGATGTCTGATGCTGGAAGGACAGTGAAACAAGGAGGACTTTGACTACACAAATTACGAGGTGACCAAAACTTTCATGCCAGTTCTGGCCATTTTCCAGATCAGTTTCTGGAGAGCTACACATGTGGCTCAGAAGACTGAGGAACTCTTGAATGATATAGTGATGTCTTTCTTAGATACATCATTCACATGCAGTGGCGGCAGAATTACCGTTTGGGCGTCTTTGGAAATATCAGTGAAATATTTCAAGGAGATGCCTGTCTGGATTAACATGCCCGGAAATAATACTTTGGAAACTACTGAAACTAAATTTCAATGAATAGCATCAGTCAAGAGAAGTCCTGGATGACAGTTTGTTTTTTCGGCAGTGGCTGATGGTACAGTTCTCACCACTCGTTTGGCTAAAAGGTGTCAGAGTGAGTGAGTGAGTATGGTTTTACGCCGCTTTTAGCAATATTCCAGCAATATCACGGCGGGGGACACCAGAAATGGGCTTCACACATTGTACCCATGTCGGGAATCGAACCCGGGTCTTCGGCGTGACGAGCGAACGCTTAAACCACTAGGCTACCCGACCGCCCCAAAAGGTGTCAGATCTCCCAAAGACATGCCCCTTGGAGGCATCTTAATGACACCTAAAGCCTGCACCAAGGAGGAAGTCATGGTTTCTTTTGCTGGAACAGGTCTGAAAGAACACTTTTTCAGCACACCACAGGCCAGTAATCATTATAAATATAAATTGTCAATGCAAGAAAATAACTAGTCTAGATTATCTGCAAAAACAGATTCTATTTGGCGTAAAGGGCAAAAGAGCTGTGAAAATTATGTGAATGGATCACTGAAAATCAAGGATGACACCAGGTGTTCACCTTTTCTAAGTACCCAGGGTATAACTCCGTATAACTATGTATAACTCCGTGGCAGAACAGCCAATGTACAGCCTGGAGTGATGATGTTGTAATCCCAGCAGACATTGCAGCCTGAGTCCACATGTATTCTGTAGGTCTGATTGTTAACACTGTACACACTGAATCAGGCCCACACTGTACAAGAGGTGGCTGATGTATGCAGATGATGTTTGATGAGGAGCTTCATACTGTTTGTATGTTTCTGATGGCTTTTACCTCTGTCATAGGCTAACCTAGATTTCTGTGTGTTCAGTATACAAGTGTAGATGGCTGTGTTGGATAACATTAGATCAGTGTTGACTGTGTATCAACTTGACTGTGACATTGTCTGTCAAGGTTGTCCCTGTTCACATCTCTGTGTGTGGGTCTTCGCATGGTAACCATAACGAAGCATTGGCTTGGTGGAAGACAACTCCTTTGTGAATTTGATGGAAATTTATTATCGTGAATTGTTAAATAAGTGCCTATCTTCAAGCAATGCCAGGTTAACCTATGCACTGAAAGAAGTAAAGGCCTGCCTTGAAACAATGCTGTCAGCCTACTCACTGCCTTGAAACATCCAGGTCAACCTACACACGGCCTGAAACAATGCCATCAGCCTACTCACTGCCTTGAAACAATGCCATCAGCCTACACATTGCCTAGAAACATCCAGGTCAACCTGCCTACTGCCTTGAAACAATGCCATCAGCCTACTCACTGCCTGAAACAATGCAAGGCCAACCTACACACTGCCTTGAAACAATGCCATCAGCCTACACATTGCCTCGAAACAATGCCATCAGCCTACACACTGCCTTGAAACAATGCCATCAGCCTACACACTGCCTTGAAACAATGCCATCAGCCTACACACTGCCTTGAAACAATGCCATCAGCCTACACATTGCCTCGAAACAATGCCATCAGCCTACACACTGCCTTGAAACAATGTCATCAGCCTACACACTGCCTTGAAACAATACCATCAGCCTACACACTGCCTTGAAACAATGTCATCAGCCTACACACTGCCTTGAAACAATACCATCAGCCTACACACTGCCCTGAAACAATGCCATCAGCCTACACACTGCCTTGAAACAATGCCATCAGCCTACTCACTGCCTTGAAACAATGCCATCAGCCTACACACTGCCTTGAAACAATACCATCAGCCTACACACTGCCTTGAAACAATGTCATCAGCCTACACACTGCCTTGAAACAATACCATTAGCCTACACACTGCCTTGAAACAATACCATCAGCCTACACACTGCCCTGAAACAATGCCATCAGCCTACACACTGCCTTGAAACAATGCCATCAGCCTACACACTGCCTTGAAACAATGCCATCAGCCTACACACTGCCTTGAAACAATGCCATCAGCCTACACACTGCCTTGAAACAATGCCATCAGCCTACACACTGCCTTGAAACAATGCCATCAGCTTACACACTGCCTTGAAACAATGTCATCAGCCTACACACTGCCTTGAAACAATGCCATCAGCCTCCACACTGCCTTGAAACAATGCCATCAGCCTACACACTGCCTTGAAACAATGCCATCAGACTACACACTGTCTTGAAACAATGTCAGGCCAACCTACACACTGCCTTGAAACAATGCCATCAGATTTGAAACATATTTGAAAAACTTGACATAGTACCTCTCTGAAAACTTAAATGCCTGCTTGGCATAAATGCCGAATGTAAGGATTCTCCGTAAGAAATAAGATTCCCATGCTTATTCAAGGTTTAACCATATGTTTGAGACAGCTTCTGTACACCATGTTTACATTGATTCTAATACATTGACGTATATGGATTACAGAATGTTATCATGTTTATATGCACCTAGATTTCTCCAGTGAAAAATAATTCATTCCTCGCTGGTACTGGTCACATGCTAATCTGCTTGGTAGAAGTCAGCTTTAACACTCTGTGCCGCTCACAGAACCAGGAGCGGAACTAGAGTCAACACTGCGATGTGACGGCAACACCTCCAGCTAGACTAGGACAACATAAGCTTGACCAGGCAGCATTTGTCAGGGTCGACTTACTTGGGACACATTTGTTTTTGCGTTAATTTCACCCCAAAATAAATGAAAATACAATGGTTCGATTGAGTGTATACAGTGGCATTGACTGGAGGATGTTGGATCAGCTTACAGTGCAATGCAAGAAATGTGAGATTATCTCAGAGAGAAGGAGGAGAAGTGTTTACAGTAGGTTTTATGTTGTTTGAATATGTCATAAGAACTTCACGCAGATTGATTTTGCAACATATACAGAGGGAAGCATTACCATATTGGGGGGGGGGGGGGGGGGGGGGGGTAGTGACAATCTTATTCTTACCATCCAGATAACATGAATCAATGAACATGTGAAGGATGAGTGAGTGATTGTTGTTGATGGCTACAATTAGCAATATTTCAGCCATACCACTCTAAATAATGTAGTCTCAACCAGACACCAGGTACAAAATGCATAATTGTAGAGCAAGCATAGTTCAACTTTATATGGCTCATTCAAGAAAAGATGGAAAATAAGCTTAAATCGGTGAGATGTAAAGGGTAAATAGTACTTGCATCTGCTTTAATCAGTGAGAGATGTACTTGGGTAAATAGTACAATCAGCTGCTTCAATCAGTCAGAAATGTTGTCGGTTCCTGAAATAAACAGCAATTTTTCATTTTTTAACTTATTTTACTTAAAAAAATTGGCGACCTATACCAAGAACACTACTACAAATAGGAGAGGTGCAGTGCAAAGTTTGATTTTGATATGTGTATTTTCTGAGAAAATAGTGCTTTTTTCATGGTTTGAACTTAGAATATGTTGTAGTCGAAGTCGGGGGTATTAGTGATCCCAGCTCATTTTTTGCCTTGTTTCAATCAGTTGTACAGGTTCCTACTTTTGTTGGATAACTGTCTCCACATGATTTAACAGTCATATCCACATTGTCACCACACATTTATATCATCATCATGGTATGATATATAACCATATACATGTACTGTTGTTTCCATGGAAACATCCACACTTTGTGTAACTGCTGGGAAGATTGCATGTCAGAACAATGTTATATGATATGCTCTGTAGGTGCATAACAGACATTGATTTGGAATAACCAATGTTTCTGTTCTGGTTACCTGATAAATGCTGTCTTGGTGCTGACCGTGGCAGTCCTATATTGGCTTCAATAGTTTCTTCAGGCTTTGTCAGAGACTCACCATGCTCGTTGTGTGAGTGAGTTGTGTTTTGCTCCACCGCTTTGAAATTTGTTGTTGAGCAAAGCAGAGGTGGGCCTGCTCTCATTATGAATAAAATCTTGTTGTTTTGTTGTGAACATGATGATCAACCTCCAGGGATTTATCTAGGCTGTTCAGATGCTGACATCTGGCCCCAAGTACGCAGCAAATGTCAGTCCCGATTCGCAATTTCCCAATCCACGTATGTAATTTGGGTTTGTTTTTAATTTTGTGTGCATTTGTCAGAGTCACAAATTACGTACCGATATACAATTGCTTCGCTATGATTTCTAGTATATGATGTACAGGAGTATGTTTGTGTTTCAGATGGAGCAGTCCATAGGTGTGTGGCTGTGACCGAGAATGGCGAGTAACCATGGCAACTCTGAGCCATTGGAAGACTACTGGAAGGAGTTTAATGACATTGAAAGTAATAAAGGATCCGATGAGGAGGAGGAGCTGTCGAAAACCCCAGATGGTACATATTCAAATTGTTCCTTTGACTGAACAGGAGTTTGTTGCTGACTAACAATTTTATCAAGTTACCTTTCATAAATATATGAGAAATATGTGAAAGATTCCTTCCAAATTACCAAAATTATTTTAAAAAATATTTTTAGAGTTTCCATAGCAACGACTTTGAAAATGGCTGTAGTGTTTGTTTCCGGAGCGGATCTGGAAAACTGTGCAATATTTCTTGCCTTGCACACAACCGGACATGTCATATTGGCGGGGGACATGAGTATTTCATGCGTGTTGTTAATCAAGTTTAATACCCGTTCCCCTGTTTTATGAATGGGTTTGTCAAAAGTTCATTAATATCCTAGAATGTGCAACAGCGTTTCACCTGCACCAACTGGTGGGTGATGCACGCTGTCGCAAACCATGTGCTCAGTGAACCTTTACTTCGTCAACTCACCCGGTCACTCAAAACAGTGGGTTACAGCACTAATAACATGATACATGTCGTCGCACAGTCCACTCACTTTTATTTGTGCAAAGGCCACTGGCCCATAAACAATACATACATTGGAAATGTGTGGTACATGAACACCTCATGGAATTTTCATGCAAAAATTCTTTACATTTAACCAGTCAAAAATCAACATTAGCATGATTAGATGTGAATTGATAGAAATAGTTCAAATGTAAAACCTCAGTCAGGTCTAAGTTACGATTCAAAGTAAAACCTTTAGTCTTTATACTTGAAAGAAAATAAAACTTCAAACCAGGTCTTGATAGAAATAGTTCAAATGTAAAACCTCAGTCAGGTCTAAGTTACGATTCAAAGTAAAACCTTTAGTCTTTATACTTGAAAGAAAATAAAACTTCAAACCAGGTCTTGATAGAAATAGATCAAATGTAAAACCTCAGTCAGGTCTAAGTTACGATTCAAAGTAAAACCTTTAGTCTTTATACTTGAAAGAAAATAAAACTTCAAACCAGGTCTTGATAGAAATAGTTCAAATGTAAAACCTCAGTCAGGTCTAAGTTACGATTCAAAGTAAAACCTTTAGTCTTTATACTTGAAAGAAAATAAAACTTCAAACCAGGTCTTACTTGAAAGTAAAACCTACCTGCGTATATTCAAAGTCTCTCCTGGCTTTCAAGTTGAGTCAAAGTACAGTGAGGTGCTGAAGGGAGAAAACCCTGTATAGAACAATGGATTTATTACTCTCATCCTTAGACTAGGTCACATCTTTGCAATCACTCGGTTGACAAAAACTTTCAAAAACAGATGGTTGGCTGTCATTATAGATATATAATTCTAAACATGTTAAAAACAAGTTTTATTTTAACGTGTTTAGGTAATCCTGTAATCATGTTGGTAAAAGTTTGTTGGGGCAATAACGAAAAATTAAAACTTAGCATGTTGACATATTTAAGAGAGGGAGACTTACCTACCTTCCCTTTTTGACATTGTTATCCCCCGCCGCGCGAAAGCGCGAAGCGGGGGATATAGTATTCACGACCGTCCGTACGTACGTCTGTACGTCTGTACGTCCGTACGTCCGTCCGTACGTCCCACCTGTTTATTGCCGCGATATCTCAAGAACTAAACACTGGATTGTCTTCATATTTGGAACTATGGTGTATATACAAACTCCGCAGACACCAGTCGGTTTTGGTGACCTTGATCCCATTTTCAAGGTCACAGCAGACAAATCTGCTTTTAGAGTTGGAAAACGGTGTTGCCGCGATATCTCAAGAACTAAACACTGGATTGTCTTCATATTTGGAACTATGGTGTATATACAGACTCCGCAGACACCAGTCGGTTTTGGTGACCTTGATCCCATTTTAAAGGTCACAGTAGGCAAATCTGCTTTTGGAGTTGGAAAACGGTGTTGCCGCGATATCTCAAGAACTAAACACTGGATTGTCTTCATATTTGGAACTATGGTGTATATACAGACACCGCAGACACCAGTCGGTTTTGGTGACCTTGACCCCATTGTCAAGGTCACAGCAGGCAAATCTGCTTTTGGAGTTAGAAAACGGTGTTGCCGCGATATCTCAAGAACTAATCGCTGGATTGTCTTCATATTTGGAACTATAGTGTATATACAGACACCGCATACACCTGACAGATTTGGTGACCTTGACCCCATTTTCAAGGTCACAGCAGGCAAATCTGTTTTTGGAGTTGGAAAACGGTGTTGCCACAATATCTCAAGAACTAATCGCTGGATTGTCTTCATATTTGGTACTATGGTGTACAGGCGGGGGATATTTCGTCACTCTGTGACAAATACTTGTTTAAGATTATTTTCTTCAAGGAAATCACCTGTAGTTAAGACTCGGCAGAAAAAGAAAAGAATTTTTATTTTTTTTCCACTTTTGTTTTCAGACACCAGGGAAATGTATATGTGAATGCTGTGAGTGCATATGTCATAATGGTGTGTTTCAGAGGGGGAGCAGGAAGCAGAATGGCTCCATCGAGCAGGATACGGATTTGTTGCAAGTAAACTACATGGTTAGTAACTAGCTGCTACACAAGGCTAGACACAGCCACTAGTCTGTTAGTAACTAGCTGCTACTCAAGGCTAGAAGCAGCCACTAGTCTGTTAGGAACTAGCCCTTTCCCAGGGCTAGACATGGCCACTAGTCTGTAGTAACTAGCCCTTTCCCATAGCTAGACATGGCCACTAGTCTGTTGGTAAGTAGCCCTTATATAGGGTAAGACACGGCCACTAGTCTGTAGTAACTAGCCCTTTCCCAGGGCTAGACATGGCCACTAGTCTGTTGGAAAGTAGCCCTTATATAGGGTAAGACACGGCCACTAGTCTGTAGTAACTAGCCCTTTCCCAGGGCTAGACATGGCCACTAGTCTGTTGGTAAGTAGCCCTTATTACTCAGGGTTAGACTAGTCCCATGGTAACTAGCCATTACCCAGGGTTAGACAGGGTCACTTGTCCATTCAGCATTGGGATTCCAGGCCAGAACTGTCCCCGAGCCACCTGTGTTGGTCATAAGAGCGAATTAATGGATGGGGTGGTCAGACTCGATGACTTGTTTGACTGTGTGTCATTGTACCCTGATGCCATGGGACTTTGCTCATGATATCAATCACTGGGACAGAGAATTTATGTATGGCAATTTCTATATTATGAGGAACACAACGTTTTAGAGTTTGCTGGTTTGTCTGGTCCACATTATTTACAGGTTTCCATGATCTAGCTGGAATATTCCTGAGTGGCATTAAACAACAAAAAAAAACAACAGAAATCTTACAGTACCAGCTGGCACTGTCACATTTTGCAGATGGTAGTGAGCACTTGATGGAGGAGATGAAAATTAAAGTCTGATATGTATAGGAACTCCAGAGAGCTCTGCTCCCCTCCTTATGGTTTTCCTGTCCTCTTAAAGCAGAGGGTAGTGAGCACTTGATGGAGGAGATGAAAATTAAACTCTGATATGTATAGGAACTCCAGAGAGCTCTGCTCCCCTCCTTATGGTTTCCCTGTCCTCTTATAGCAGATGGTAGTGAGCACTTGAAGGAGGAGATGAAAATTAAACTCTGATATGTATAGGAACTGTCCTCTTATTGCAGATGGCAAGGAGCTGAGTGATGATGACCTGGAGGGCTTGACGGAGGAGTTGTCTGCCCCCCAGGCCGAGGCGGTACGGAAACGTATTGACACATTGACCACCACAATGAGGAAGAAACACAAACAGAACAAGATCCATGTGAAGGACATCTTCACTAACATGGATCCGAGGGTAGGACATACTGAACAGGTCACTTAGAATAAATACCATTGGGTGCTTTTTACTCCAGTGTTAGCCTGACTCTGTTATACCACTTTCTGAAAGTAGTCAGATGGTCTGGGTATTCATCTCTGATATAAAGGCACAGGGTCCTCAGTGGATTATAAGATACTGTCATTCACTCTACACGAACTATGGAGTTATGTCCCTTGGGTGTGAGGATCTGCCAATCACAAATTCAGACCCAAGAGTTATTGTGTAATTTTTTTTTCGGTGGTCAGCACCATATCCTTGCTAGTGAGTTTCACCCAAGTGACAAATGTCCTGACACTGTATGATATAACACACACAATGTTCGAAGTGGCATATATTATACTCATATTTCCACATGCAGAAAATTTGTTTTGATTGGATGTACCATTCTTCTTGTGTTTTAAGCCACCGGCAAGTCCGACACTGGAACGTATGCCAATCAGGAGAGAAAGTGCCAAAAACCGAGAACGAGCGTCCTTTTTGAGAAGTGGGCATTACTCCATGTCTGGGGCCCCGACAGCCGAAGTCCAGACATACACTAACCCAGAGACAATACGTGGTGAGCCAGCCACTCGTGGCTTTGCAGTAGGTGGAGTTGTATGTGTCACTTGTACAGGATCTTACGAGCCGACTGATCTTGTACACCACATGACCTAGACTTGAGGGGTGTACACGAATGTTCAGCTTGGAAAAAAACATCCTTGTGACATGTGTAACAAATTTGTCGATATGAGTGCACTATTTACAATGTGTAATGTCAAGGTTATAATTGTGTTGTACAGATAGATCTATCATGTCACCTACATCATACTTTCGTTATTTTTGGTAATTTTCGGTAATTTCAAGTGTGAACACAGTCAATTATTATGTGACAAGCAAGTAGAGAGATTCTCTGGGCTTCTTTGTATTCTATTATAAAAGTCAATTTAACCCCAAAAACTTGAATATTTCTCAGAAAAATTGTTAGTCTAATGTCCCACCACGTATTTCTCAAACTTGCTCTCGTTATATGTAGCTAGTTGACAGCAGATTGTATTAAAACCCCATTGCGTCGACTTGTGTATTACCCACGTGGTGAAGATACAGGTGGTAAGATACTAAATCCGTACGTCACACGTGTGTCGTACAAGGTTGACCTTGTTTTATTCGTTTTGATTGGATGACCATGACCTCTGTCACACCGGGACTTCATTCATAAAAAAATCGACAGACGTCATTCATTTTGCAGCTACAAGGAAGAACTGAAGAAATTAATGAGAACGAGAGACATTTACAAACACTTTATTAAACCATACAAAATAGTCACACGCATCAAATTTGGTTTGCATTATATATAAGTTATGCATAGAGCTTCTACAGACATTATATAATCGAGCTATATCCATTTACAATGTACGACTACCGATCAATAGAGCGAGGGTCCCCATGAGTGTGACGCACCTGACCACTGTCGCAACTTTCAATTTGAGTTAACGTAAAAGGATAAGCGTGGTGAAATGAAGTCTGTTTAAACTATCTGGACAGATATCTAGGCTTACTTGGGATGATCAGTGTCCCCTTCGAAGTGTATTTTGTGGCGCTGTTTAGGGAGGTGTTGTTCATGAATGGAACGTACACGAGTGTATGACCAGATCACTAAAAGTGAACAGTTCTGATACAAATCATTCGAAAACTCCTTGGAAGTGTGCCTGACTTCTGATTTTGTGGCCCCAAACATCCCAAATGTGAACAATAACATTCCCTATCTCTAGCTTAAAATGCTGTGAGTAGATCACGGTTGTCTCTTCTTATTCCGGCTGTGACCTTGCCCTTCGATCGTTCGAAGCTGTCACTGACATGCAAGCAAACTTGAGTTTGTTGATTTTCACGTCTTCAGTATAGGGTGGTACAGTTAACATGAATGTCTTCGTCGAACACTCTGATTTCCCTCTTCCAAAATGGTACGAACATGATATAAATTCAGCTGATAGATCAAGGAAACCGAACCATTTTGATTGCACAGACGGGACACCGGCAGTGTGAGTGACCGACTGTTAGTCTGTTATTCATATCGCGGCGCTAATGTGACTTTTCAAATTTTCTTATAGGTGTCCTTCGTACTTTCAACATGGCACTTGAATTACCATAAGTTGAAGAATTTCTTCCAAATGGATCTTGAGCGTCGGTGCTGTTTTGTTTGTAAACACAACTGCAGGCGCATGGTGTTAATGTGGATGCATAGAAATGTCAACAATGCCCATATTTGGGCATATATCAATATTCATGCGCATCCAGATTTTGCAACCGGTTTCAGTTTGGTCTGTCAGCTAACGAAAGTTGTTATGTATTTACACTTAAATATATATTTAACGTGGGTAATAAATAAAATACCACACTCATTCTCGTTAGATACCATTTTTATGAAACTTGTGAACTTTCTATGGTATCTGACCTCACTTTCGCTCGGTCAAATACAATAGAAAGTCCACTCGTGTCGTAAAAATGGTATCTAACGAGAATGAATGTAGTATTCTCTATGTACTCCATATATGTGTATGGGATCATCAAAGGTTGTAGTAATACTTTGAATCAGATCTACTTACTTCATTATCAAATTTGGATCTTGAAGCTTGAGTATGCGGTTGTGATGTTGCCAGGTGTTCAGGTGCTGAGCATCAACCCAATGACAACACAGAACAGGTTGTCTCGGACCCAGCTGCAGCCAATCACAGACACCGATTTCTCCATGGACTTCCACCTGGAGGAGAGAGACAACAAGGTGAGGTCAAGGCCGGGGCTTCAGGGTAGCCTTGTGGTTAAAGTGTTCCCTTGTCAATTTGAAGACCTGTGTTCAATTCCCTAAATCGGAAGAATATATTGAGCCCATTCTTGGTGTCCCTGTCCATTTATTGCTGGAAATGAAGAATTAAGTTCACTCACTTCACTGTAGTCTTTAAAACAAGTGCAACAGGAGTATTGATAATAACAACAGTAAGAACAATTGACCCATGGCTCACTTAAGATGAATTTCTCCTTTAGGAAATCATATTATTACTCCCAAAAGCATGACTTCAGAAAGTTCCATTCCTCTATTGTCAATAATATACAAGTTCAGTAAGTGCACAAAAGAAGAGTCCAAGATGGCTGCCAACCATATGACATATCCAAATAAAACATGTTATGATGTATGTTGACAATATGTGGAGTGGTGCTACTTGTTGTTACCCTGCCTGGTTCTCGACATTAGTCCGGACTAGTACAAGCAGCCACACACAATAACTCAAGAATAGAAGAATCCATGTAGAAGTTATTTTGCTTTTGGTACAAAAATGGAGGAATAATAATAGTAACTTTGATAATTACAGGAGGGCTTACACAAAGTATGTGCATTCCCAGTAAGATATCCTTGTAATGCTGACTGAAATACACCTTGCGCCAGAACAGAGTTAGCCATTTTGTCCCAGTCAGGCAACAATTAGTCACCACATAGTGTTTTTTATTACATTTTGTCAGCGTTTTGAATACACGCCAGCCTGACAGTCAAAGACGGTCTATATTGATGGACGGTCAATTTTTAAAAAGTTGCACGCCAGAATGTTGGGCTATTATTGTATTCCCTAAATTGCCTAAGCAGTCTAGTTATAATTTAATGTAAGAGGTAAGTTTAGCTGTAAAAGTTAAACACATTATTGATGAATGAAATATCAATGAGTTAAAGTTACTAAGTTGACAGTCTGATCACTAACATCAAACAGTACTATGCTCATGTTCACCCTTTTGTTACTTTTGTTCGTTAGTCTGGAGCATTCTGGACTGGCAACATTTTGTCTGGTCTTGTAACTTTGCAATGTTGCCAGTCCGGTTGTCTGCTGAAATTTTGAGGAATTTTATACACTGTACTTCTTGTAACTAGATATGCTACATTTCTGGGGAATCTGATGTTTTCACTCAATGAGTGATCATGTGGAATGGGAGTTTGTGATAAAAATGTGACAGGTTTGAAGTTGCATTCTTGCAGATTGAATGATGGATTCTGTAGTATCACTTCAGACTTTCTGATTGGTCAGTCACTTTTGATTGACAGGTGGCAACAGGTTACATTCCAGCTAGAATCATCAGTTCTAATGCTGAATCTTTGTGTATGGCTGAAGAGAAGCAATTGCTTGCTTGACTATGATTTGTGAACTAATGAAAAATCAGGGGATGGAATCGGTGATAATTGAATGTATGGTGGTTGCTGTAGATTATTATCAGAATATGCAAGCACCATTTCTGTGTTGTGTGGCCATATATAATGTGGGGAAAGTTATTAATATTGTGCTGTTCATGTCTAGATTTCATTAGTCAGCTGTCATTGTGAAATAGTAATCTCTAACCATATGGTGTGTGGACGTTTAATAACATGTCTGGTCACATTGGGGTAGGAGCGATTAGTTAATGCAAACAAAGACAATCAATAACACTTGTTTTGCAACACATGTGCATCCTTGTTTGTTTGTTTCCAATCAGTGATGGTTTCTAATCACAATCAGTCCATGTGCTTGTTTTGCCTAATCTTGTTGCATGGGTGTGTTTGTTTCAGAGCAATTCACAAAGGAGTCCACTTGATTTACCTGTGAGTCTCACCGGAGTAGTCCCCCTTGGTTTAACTCTATAGTTCTAGGGCTAATAAAGTTTTGTCATCTAATATAACAAAGACATGAATTGAATCAAGCTAATAAAATACATGCATTCAGGTCACAAAAAATGTTCTGGTGCAAATAAGCAATTTGAAGAGAAACATTATGATTTAGAATTGGTCTCTAGATAATGAAAGAAGTTTTATTTCCAGGTGAATCCTACGAATATGTCTTTATTGTATTTTTCAGTGACAAAACTTTTGCTATAGAAAAAAGCTAAGCATTTTAAATGTACCAGGTTTGTCAGGATCTGCAGACTATCATGTTGAGCACTGCCTGTGTGATATCCATCAGTATTTGCTTCCAAAGGCTTTCTGCTTCTGTGGGTCTTCCTCGTCACCTCATCATGAGTGCAGTCCTAGCACACTCACTCACCTTGCTTAACGAGGTGACTCACAACTCACCTGGTGCTAAAATCACTCTGTTTCTTGATGTTTGTGTATTGGTGTGACCTTTCACTGAATATTTGACACAGCTAGTGAACATATATATGTTTCTCACCAGTTGAAGGTCATTTCTTCTGTATTGTATAACATAACTAATATTTCATTTATCCTGTAGGTTGAAAATGAAATATTTCAACACTAATGGCTCTACTTCTTTATCACTTGGATGTCCTTTTTGGGGGGATATATATGCACCATGTTGGATCTAGGATTTCTTATAAAAGTGGGATGCATGTCTTTGAGGCATTGTTTTACTATTTATTCCCTATTTTATAGTATCAATAATTAATTTATTTATATCACAAAATAAGTTATTGATATCATAATATTGATGTTAGATTATCATGTTTAGCTTATTAAATGGCAAAATATTCTGATATTTTTTATTAATAATTCATGCACAAGCGCAAAAAAAAATCTCAATTACGTTAAATGGGTGATCATTTTGATAGGCAACAAAATGGTTGAAAAGTATCATTTTTATTTTTATATGTACCAAGAAGTTAGTTATTATATTATTTTTAATGAAATCAATAAATAGAATCAGTTGTGTCACAAATTTGATTTTTAGATGTCACTAAGTACTTTTGGAATTTGTCATATGTAAAAATGGTTTTGTGATATCCAAAAATGAAATTTGTGATACAGCTAATTCTGTTTATTGATATCTAAAATACATCAGTTATCTTGATATCTAAACATCAAATTTGTGATATCAATAAATAAAGTATTAATATCATAAAGTAGAGAATAAATATCAAAACAATGCCTCATACATGTCCATATATGGGATTTCAAAGATCTACACAAACCAGATTACAGACAGACATACTGTAGCGTCATGAGAGTAGGCCCATCTTTGAGCACCAACCCACCCTGTTTTTGATGGGTGAGTAACATGGCCGTATTGTGATTTAAGGCCCACCCCCTTAATAAACAGCTCCTTGATCAGTGTGTTCCATGTGCCTCTGACAGTGACACTACGGTATTGTCTCACAGAAGAGTGAGGCCCCCTGGATCCCTTGCTCGGTTCCACCTGTGCACTAGTGCATGTGTTTTCAGTATGTGTAGCACTGGACGTGCACATTGGTCTCTAAATGTACACATAGATACAGCGCATGTCAAAATGACCATTTGAATAATGGTTCATTTGTGCTTGATTTAATGAAATTAAACAAGAAACCTAGATGGCAAAATTCTATGGTTTTCTTTTCCACCTTAGTGAAATCACAATAGTAAGACTTATAGGATTGTCTGTAGTTGGTTGTTTGGCCAAAATTATAATATTTCATGTGCAGTTGGGAATTTTTTATTTTAAGAAATGTTCTTCAAAAATGTTCAGAGGAGTAAACCACAGCATCATCATTTATTTGTGGTGCTGTGAATCCATGAAAGAAGCAGGCTCAAACAGGCTGGCAAAAGCTTGTGAATGTTTGGAAAAAAATAAGCTGCAGTTAGTAGAGTATACATTTTGTGTGATGCAGGACAACCCAGTCTGACATACAGCTCTCGTGGAGATGCTCTCGTGGAGATGCTCTCTCTGGCCTTCTGCCCACTCTCGCTGTTCTGTATTGACTAATGTATTAAGCAATAACTAACGTATCAGCTACTATATTGACTATTGTATTAAGTAAAAACTAACGTATCAGCTACTATATTGACTATTGTATTAAGTAATAAATAACGTATCAGCTACTGTATTGACTTATATATGTAGGCTAAGCATACCGTATTCACTGTAGCAAGTGCCCGGCTCCAATACTTCTGCGAGTAATCTTTATAAGCACCATTACCACATGTAATAATCCTGAAAGTGTACATGACAGTCCTTGTTTCTTGTGTATGATGCACATTGTTGAACAACAAAATACCGCAGGAGATGCATATTATACTCTCAGACATTGAGTTGGTACTTCTATTTTGCCACAAACATATTACTGTGGCATGTTAATAGTTAAAGTTATCACATTGTCTTGTAACCTATTGTCGCCTAAGTTTTAGTTTCATCAATGTTTGACGAAGTAACTTCTCTTGATCAGTGATGTCAAGTTTAACTTGTGTATAGTTTTAATAACCACCCTCTTTGTCAACTTTCTAAACACCCAAGGTGCTTATTACAGTGAATACGGTAGCTCCAATATGCCCCTGATCCAGTGACACAGTATCACTCACACCTCTAATGGTGAACAATTGAAGTCATATCAGCCAGATCAATTTGTGCATGTTTTACAAATGACCATGTTCTAAATTTTTCACAAAGAAATTATTGGAACATTGTTGCTCTGAAAATAGTCTTCTTTTAACCTGTGCTTGATAATAATGTTGTATTCATGTTTTTTCAAACCTTTTGTCAGTACAGGGAAACAGGACTTTATTATGATCAATATGACTATGATATACTGAATTAACTTTACATTGTTTTGATTAAATCAGGCTGACCATATATGTTCTTTCATGGCTACCGACCTAGAAAATATAAAAACAAGAAATACAACTGATCTGGCCTAACCTTAATGACCAATAGCCTCGTGAATACACTGCTTTCATTTTTCATCCAACAATGATGAAAATCATGATATTGCTGGTTTATTGATGTTTCTGATAATACCTATTGACTGGCATCAATGTCCGCAACACCAAACACAAACCTCAGACTTAGCAATGTCGTCATTATATTGTAAGTTACATGTTATACATTATACAGTAATCCCTCGCAACTACGCTACCTTTGGGGTCCAAATAATTGATGAGCATTAAAGACGATCAGCGGTTTAACCGAGGTGGAGTCTTAGGGGGTGGATGACCAACACAACACTACATGCTCTGCCTACCTAACATGATCTACGTTTCAGAGTTTTAGACAAAATTAGAATAGTAGTTGTTTATGATTCACAGTGTTAAAAAAGATTTACATCGTGTCATTGGGAAACTTGAGTTTATTAAAAATGTAAGTAAATTTTGAGAGCCATGCATTACCGCACACTATAACCGAGTTAGCGCTATAGCGAGGGAACACTGTATTATGCTGTATTTTATATATAAGTGGGGGATAAATATATTGTTTACTCTCATTATGAATGTTTATATATAAGTGGGGGATAAATATATTGTTTACTCTCATCATGAATGTTTATATATAAATGGGGGATAAATATATTGTTTACTCTCATCATGAATGTTTATATATAAGTGGGGGATAAATATATTGTTTACTCTCATCATGAACGTTTATATATAAGTGGGGGATAAACATATTGTTTCTTCTCATCATGAATGTTTATATATAAGTGGGGGATAAATATATTGTTTACTCTCATCATGAACGTTTATATATAAGTGGGGGATAAACATTGTTTACTCTCATCATGAATGTTTATATATAAGTGGGGGATAAATATATTGTTTACTCTCATCATGAACGTTTATATATAAGTGGGGGATAAACATATTGTTTACTCTCATCATGAATGTTTATATATAAGTGGGGGATAAATATATTGTTTACTCTCATCATGAACGTTTATATATAAGTGGGGGATAAATATATTGTTTACTCTCATCATGAATGTTTATATATATTGAAGAATTTGTCTGAAGGTTTGTGTTGTGTTGTGTTAAGTACCAGCCTGGTTATTCCAAGTACCTTGTGTTATGCTTCATGAACATGCCAAATAAGGTATGAGTATGGTATTGATTTCATACGTATTCCCAGCCCCGGCACTGTGTAACACTTTGTTGTAAAAATGTAAAATTATATCAAATGGAACTACCCACTAATGATTTTTTGTTATTGACAAATAACTTGCAATGGAGCATGGCTTGTTATTGATATCATACTGATACAGTAAAGCTGACAGGTGACCAACTCTATCCTACATATGAGAATGGTGTATCGCAAGGAGCTTCACTAGTTCTAGCTGTTTGTATTCAGATCATTTATTTTCTATACAGATTATGAATTTGAACACAAATGCTTTTGTAACCTGCACATAGTATAGATGTGTTTGTATTGCTGCACTGTTGGTCTAGATCCAGTTTGTAATTCCTACATGGAAACAGCTGTTCTGAACGTTACTTTATAAAGTATGCTGTCACTAGTTTTGCACTTCCACTGTCCGATTGGCTGGGAGGGGTAAAGTCAAGACATGTTGAGGAAATATCTCCATGGACTCTCTGCTCGCAAATACAGGAACTATACCACTCAACTCTTCGCTGGGATATGCCTGTTTTTCTATAATACACTCAGCTGATTACTAAATATGTAAATTACAATATTGTCAGTATCCCTTTGGAAGGTTGAATAGTATATTTCAGACTCCATATTTAGATCAACTTTTACTCTGATACAATACCTCTCTCCATGAGGATCTTACAATCACTCCATCGGGGGTCACGACAGGTCAACTTTCTGATCATCTGGTCAGCATTAAGGTTTCTAAATTCAAAATATACTACTCAATCTTTGATAGGGAGAATAATATTCCATAATGGTGATGCAAGTCATCTAAAGTGGTGCAATTCACTATGCATAGCTGCGTCCCTTAGGCGTGTCAGAAATCTTATAATGATTGTGGCTTCAAATGTCAGTTCTCCCTCATTGTTTCTTGGTTTGTCAGCACCATACTAGTACTTGGGGGTTTTAGCAAACTGGTAAATGTCTAAGACCTGTATCACCTTGGCTTTCCTCCCACACCTAGCTGACATGCAGTGATTTAACTGAAATTCTGTGCAAAGCAGAGTTAGACCAATCTCCTATCACAATGCCAAACTTGTTTCTCATAATATGTACAGGTATGTAACCAGTACGTGAATGATATGAAATATCTCTATCAACTGTGGTTTGGGTAGTCCTGTGGTTAGACATGTTAGAGCATAGGCTTGTCACACCAAAGACCCAGGTTTGATTCTCCACATTGAGTTTGTCCATTCTTGGTGCCATTTGCTATTATGTGACGGAGATTATAAGATGACACAACATAAGACCTTACTCACCCAATCAAAAGTTGAGGAGTGTATGTTTCTGATAAATAAACACGTTGCGTTTTGCTCCACAGGCATTCAACTTGAAGCACAACCCACTGGGCACGACACGGATCAATGACCTTGGCACTGTCGACCTGGACAGTCTACGAGCCCTTGCTCACATAGAACTAACTGCGCTCTTTGATTTGAATAATTTAACATTTGCAAGACCAAAGAAAAAGAAAAAGATTAAAGGTAAGTATGGATCCATGGCAGAGAGTATCCTGAATATGGGGCATGTCTGTGATGCATCAGACAGTATGGTTTATTTAGAAACATTTTCCCGTTTTGTTGTGTTTCGAAGCCGGCTCTACTTTGGGCACACTTCTTAGGCCAGATCTTATTGAAAAAGCACTTATAATTCATTACTGGTGTCATGTATTCACACATTTATACTCGGCCCGCTCGTGTGCCATGCCAAACGCGACAGCTTGGAAGGAAGCCATCCTAGTTTACTCATGGATATATGACGTCATCATATGACGTAATGAGATAATGTGTACTTTGGATATTGCGGGAAACTGTATCACACAAGATGTAAACAACTACATGGAGAATACACTACAACTTATATGGCAAAAGTAGCATTGCAGTCGGTAACAGCTGCTACTGAGAGCTGTCAATTGAAGTTCACTAGGAAACTGTGATATGTTATAAAAAATGTCTTGTCTGCGCATACATATTATAAATTATAAAGTGAAAGATGTTTGGAAATTTACATTAACATTCTAAAAAAGGACACCGGTTTTGAAAATATCCTATATGTTTGCCAGGTTTTCACAAAGCCGTAAATTCAGTAAAATCTATTTCTCTGACAATTACATGTATTTTACGACCACCATCAGACTTTCACTATAGTTCATATGGCGTGAAAATAGCAGGATCAGTTATGACGTAACAATTAAGTGACATCACGTCATGACATCCGTTCAGCTCGGCTAACTGACCTGTAATGCTTTTACAACTTGTCCCGTGAGGATCCGGGTCAGAATAGGTCTTCAGCAACCCATGCTTACCGTAAAAGGCGACTATGCTTGTCGCAAGAGGCGACTAACGGGATCGTGTGGTCAGGCTCACTGACTTGGTTGATGCATGTCATCATATCCCAATTGCGTGGATCGATGCTCATGATGTCAATCACTGGATTGTCTGGTCCAGACTAGATTATTTACAGACCGCCGCCATATAGCTGGAATTTTGCTGAGTGCGGCATTAAACAACAAACAAACAAACAAACAGTTTTACAAGGCAGTGACTGGCCAGACGGATAACTAGATTCTTTGATGTCTGTTGTACGGAATATGCTTGTTTGTTGTTACAGAACATGGCTTGTTTGGCGTCCCAATCCACATCCTGTTAGAGAATGACCAGCGGAGAGCTCCCAATGTCAAAATACCACTTATATTTCAGGAGGTGGGTTTTACTGTGTCTGCGTTCTGTCTTACAAAACAAACCATGTCTTCTCATTCACATTATAAAGAACATTTGTTATTTGCTCCTCTGGTATTTGATGAGTGAAGTCCCAGACATCAGGTTGTGCCAGTTTACTTTTTGTTATTAGCTGGGATAAAAACTGATTTAGAATTAGTATATTGTTAAATACATGACAAATGACAAATAAGTTAACTTTTCTATACATCACTTTTTGTTTGTCAGTAGTGCATGTAAGGTTTAAGGTTCATTGTAAGGTTCTCAGTCAAACCTGGCACACAGCCAGAAAACAGTAACGACTTTGAAAATAATTGATTCTGATTGGTCAAGAGGTTTCAAATCACAATAACCACAATTAATGAAACAGCTGATTTCATTGCTGTGTCACTGCAGAAACTGATGTTTATAGAAAAGTATGTCTTTCCAAATAGTTATAGATAAGATGTATACATTTACTGGTCACAACATAACTTCTTTGATAGGCATTTAGAAGTTGGAGTATAAAGTAAGGATAAGATATATGGATGAACAACTTCTTTATTACAATTAGGAGCGACGTTACACCTTGCTTTATAAAGGTGTCAGAACCTACACCGTCACGTCTCTCCTAATTGTAATAAAGAAGTTGTTCATCCATATAACTTGTCCTTACTTGGTCACAACATGCTTGTCTACAATATTCAGAGTATGTGTTTCTATACATTTTGGAAAGAAAACATGATAAAAACTTGCTAAAAGTGTATGTTTATAGTTTCAACAGACCTTGTAATTTGATACTTTCCTATATCCGATTATGACATGTTTGATTCCAAATTCAATTTCTCTTGGTTAAATCTTCTGACAGCCTGGCTCTTCATTGAAACTGCATGTGTCTCTCCTGATTAATGGTGTAAGTAGGTAATTCTTTTTAAATTGTTTGATAGGCATTACTTAGAAGTTGACGGATGACAAGGTAGACACAATTTATGGATAACAACTTCTTTAATACTGTAAAAAGTGACTTTTCGGTATAGATCCTTATACCGTTGTCAAGCAAGACTGAATGAGGGACTTGGTACAGAATATATATAGTAGGTGGAGGATTAACAGTACTATAAGGATCTATACCGAAACATCGCTTTACAGTATTAAAGAAGTTGTTATCCATAAATTGTGTCTACAAGGTTATTCTTGTTGCCTTTCAGTTGATCCGATTTCTAGAAAAGGAAGGCCTGAGAACGGAGGGTATCCTTCGAGTGCCAGGAGCTGTATCAAGAGTGAAGGTATATTGTAGGGTTGATACTCCCTAAGTCAGTCTCTCCACACTGCAACTGCTCTCCCTGTTTCTCCTTTAGATAAAGTATTTCCCCGACTGAAATTAAATATTTAAAATGAGTTTGTTATACTTCCCATATTAGCTATCCCAGTTAACAATATCTTTGGGGTTTATACCATGTGCAAGGCATTTGATACCTCTAGATTTATGTACAAGGCATTTGATACCTATGGATTTGAACTGAAAATTAATGCAGTACTTGGGAAAGTCTTGAATATGTAAATGAGTTTAAAATCAATGATGCAATGTTATTTCAAGCAGGGTATAATGGTTTTTACAATAGTAAGTACCTGTTAAATATTGATCAGTATTTTGTAATTTTTGTTGCACCTGTCAAAACTGTCTCTAGTTGAATAGAATAACAGGACTTTTTAAATGTATCATACCAGACAAATGTAGGAGGTTTCTCGTAATGCTTTAACAATTTCTTGCAAGTCTACATGTGTTATGGAATGTATTTCTAGCACTTACGACATGAATTAGAAGAGAAGTTTTACTTGGGAAACTTCCACTGGAAAGATGTTTGGCCCAACGATGCTGCAGCTCTCATGAAGCAGTTCATCCGAGATCTACCAATACCTCTGTTGACATACGACTACATCGATGCCTTTCCACAAGTCAAGTGTGAGTGTTGTGCAGTAGGGGTAATAGCTGGTGCAGCATAAGTCAAATGGTCAACTTTGTGTACTATGACTAGTGTTGTTATAGCCCAATCATGTACTATGACTAGTGTTGTTATAGCCCTATCATGTACTATGACTAGTGTTGTTATAGCCCAATCATGTACTATCACTAGTGTTGTTATAGCCCAATCATGTACTATGAAAGTGTTGTTACTACCCTATCATTTACTTTCACTAGTGTTGTTATGGTCCAATCATGTACTATGACAGTGTTGTTATTGCCCAATCATGTACTATGACAGTGTTGCTATTGCCCTATCATTTACTATCACTAGTGTTGATATGGTCCAATCATGTACTATGACTAGTGTTGTTATTGCCCAATCATGTACTATGACAGTGTTGTTATTGCCCAATCATGTACTATGACAGTGTTGTTATAGCCCAATCATGTACTATGACAGTGTCGTTATAGCCCTATCATTTACTATCACTAGTGTTGTTATGGTCCAATCATGTACTATGACAGCGTTGTTATAGCCCAATCATGTACTATGACAGTGTTGTTACTGCCCTATCATTTACTATCACAAGTGTTGTTATGGTCCAATCATGTACTATGACTAGTGTTGTTATAGCCCTATCATTTACTGTCAATAATTTTGTTATAGATCCAATCATGTACTATGACAGTGTTGTTAGTAAAAACTTGTTACAATGCATGACTATTGTTATTGTTACAATGTGTGATATGTTGTGGCAGTGTGATCGTGGTGTGTACAGTATGTGACGGAGTGATTGTGTTTATGTTACAGTGTGTCTGTTGTTGAAGTGTGTAATTGTGTTGTTACAGAGAGTGATCATGTTGTTACATAGAGCGTTTGTGTTGTTAGTTATTGACTGTTAAAGTGTGTGGTTGTTTTGGTACAGATTGTGACTGTCGTATTGTTACCATGGTTACAGTGTGTAAATTGTGTTGTTACAGCATGTGATTGTGTTCATGTGTTTACTGATACAGAGTAATTGTGTTGATGTTATTACATTATGTGAGGGGGCACAGGTGGCCCAGTCATCTAAGGCGCCGTGATTCACTGAGCAGAGTTGCATCCCTTGGGCACGCCAGAAACCTATGATTGTGGGTTCGAACCCCGGTTCGCCCCGATGATGTTTCTAGGTTTGTCAGCACCATACCCGTGCTCGTGGGTTTCACCGAAGTGGTAAAAGTCAGAGACCTGCATCACTTCGGGCTTTCCCCCCACATTAAGCTGACACGCCGTGATATAACTGGAATACTGTTAAAAACGGCTTAAACCCAACTCTTACCATCTGTGATTGTGTTTCAGCGATCAAGACAACGCTGGAACAACTGAGGTGCCTCAACCTTCTGGTGCTGCTCCTGCCTGATGAACATCGGGAAACTCTCAGGGTCAGTCACTGCACAGACAATATCTTGTACCTTACAAATTGTCCATCGGTCTTAAAGGATACATTGGTTGATGTATCCTCGGTGGTAGCTTATGTTCCCTGAGCCCAACAATAACAAATGTACCTTACATGTTAGCAGGGTACATTGAAAATAATAGAATGGGGCTCTGCCAATCAAAATCCACAATTGAACGTAAGATAAACATTCATATAGCTGGGGGTAGTCATGGTACGAATCATCTTGAACATACACATAGCCAGAGGATGAGTGACATTATGTCACCTTAATACACCAGTGTTTCTAGTATTGCTGCTCTTTTACCTTTCCGCTGAAACTACAAGGCCTATGGAACTGAAATTTTGTATGAATATTTCCAGGTATGGTGTCTCTAAAAACCTGCTTTCAGAATTCTGATCCAACGTGAAACATGGCTGCCATAACACATGACATATTGAAAATGTCATTTCTGTCTATTACTTAGACGGGGCGGTCGGGGAGCCTAGTGGTTAAAGCTTTCGCTCATCACGCCGAAGACCCGGGTTCGATTCCCGACATGGGTACAATGTGTGAAGCCCATTTCTGGTGTCCCCCGTCGTGATATTGCTGGAATATTGCTAAAAGCGGCGTAAAACCATACTCACTCACTCACTCACTATTACTCAGTCATTTCTGCATGTATCATGATGAAATTAGAAATGCTGCAAGTATGGGCATGTGGAATAACGTGATATGATTATTGGCATATTTTGGAAATGAAACAACTACTTTGAATGAATGATTCCAGCTTGGTAGCTCTACAGAAACTGCTTACCAAATTCATGACTTTATAGGTGGATGCCATTGTTTCTTCATAATTCAGAGGGGGCACGGGTGGTTGTGCAGAGTTGCATCCCTTGGGCATACCAGAAAGCCATGATCGTGTCTTCCAATCCTGGTTCACCCGAATGTGTTTCTAGGTTTGTCAGCACCATACCCGTGCTCATGGGTTTCACCAAAGTGGTAAATGTCCTGCATCACTTTGGACTTTCCTCCCATGTTTAGCTGACATGCTGTGATATAGCTGGATTACTGAACACAACTCACTCAGTCTCATAGTTCAGGTGAGCTACAGAGCCTAGTGGCTCTGTTTATTAGTATAATCATCTCTTGTGTTGTTGGATTGAATATTGTCTTTTCAGGTTTTATTAAGATTTCTGCGTAAGATTGTATCCTCCAGTAAAGACAACAAGATGTCATTGAGCAATGTTGCAATGATAATGGCCCCCAACTTGTTCCTGGGACCAGCTACACGTAACAAGTCACTGAGCATAGAACAGAAGGAGCTGAGCAAAGCACACGGAACATCAAGTATCGTGAAGATGCTGATCCACTACCAGGAGGAACTGTGGACGGTAAGCCGCTTCTGTAGAGTCAGGGAAATATGTCTGATACATCACTATTACTTATTACCTTATATCTATCGGAAGCATCAATAATGCTAACAAAAAAAAATTTATAGGAAAATCCAGTTAATATATTAGACCATCTTAAAATTAAAAGGTTGCATCAAGGCGCAAGAAAATATAAACCTGCTCATATTTTTTCAAGAGTTGTTAGGAAATACTACCAGTGTACAGGGGAGGCAACATTCCTTTATGATGTCACAATGGAAAAGTGACATCACGTAGTAGCATTGCTGGGGCGGTCGGGTAGCCTAGTGGTTAAAGCGTTCGCTTGTCACGCCCAAGACCCAGGTTCAAATTCCGAAATGGGTACAATGTGTGAAGCCCATTTCTGGTATCCCCCGCCGTTATATTGCTGGAATATTGCTAAAAGCAGCGTAAAACCGAACTCACTCACTCACTGACAGATATATTGTAACAATGTTGGAGTATTGTATAATATGGTCAAGAGTCTAGATTAAAACATTTGTTCCTCTAATCTAATGCTTATGTCAATGGACCAATTAAATATCAGGTAAGCAATCTGGCAGCCAATAAAAATGTTGAAAATATTCTACATATCCTACTGTGTACATGGACCATGAACGTCTAATGAAGATCAGGGTATGGAAGGAACAAGAGAGAACGACAATAACATACCAGACAAGATGGCATCACAGGTAATCTGGGGCATGACTTCATGTGACAATGGTGTTGTACATTTCTGCCAAGACTTAGACAATCTGGCAGATGAGGGAGCCACCATGGTGTTCTACGTCCCTGTATTGTGTCACTTTTTGCAGGTGCCCCCATCCTTTGTCAGACAATTGAGGATTCAAAACGAGGCCGATATTTTGCGGAAAAATAGGGTAAGGAAATAATATCATACATTAAAACAGTATTATAAATATGTAAGTATGTATGTCAATTTAAGCAACAAAATCCTTTCCATAATTCATCCGGGCTTAGGCGGGAAGCGGGCGTGGAAAAGGTGCGGGCTGGGCAAAGCCTTTCGGGGCTAAGCCTGGACCACTGCCTCGACCATCTTGTGGACCAATTTAGCTTGTGGGTTATCCTTCGGGGTTCCCGCATCGTCTGGCAATTAACGGCCACCTCAGAACTGGCACGGACCAGGGGAATCCGACTGTCTAATTAAAACAAAGCATTGTGATGGCCGCCACCTGGTGCTGATGCAATGTGATTTCTGGCCAGTGCTCTGAATGTCAAAGTGAAGAAATTCAATCAAGCGCAGGTAAACGGCAGGAGTAACTATGACTCTCTTAAATTCTGAAAGCAGAGTCCATTGTTTGATTCCAACTATATCATGAGCATGCTTTAATGAATCACTGTCAAAGAGTGATGAGACCAGGTGAGTGTATCATGCCCCACTGAGATTATATGAGGGCAATAGAGGGACAGTTTCCATTATGAGGACATATATGTAGTATCTTCTGTGTTCTCTGTCTGCAGAAAAGAGGATTCCGAGCTCGAAAGGACAAGAGTGAAGCTTACAGAAGGTCAGCGCCTGTATCAGAGGTGAGAGTGGCTGGACAGTTGACAGTATTTCTCTCACATTAATTTAATAGCTGATTCAGCAACTGACATGTCTGTTATATTCTGAAGGCCACTTTACAATGTGGTGTGAAGCAGTCTGTTGTCCAAAACAATTTACCTTAAGAGGGCTGTGTACTAGCCTAGTGGTTAAAGTGTTCGCTCATCACGCCGGTAGCCCAGGTTCAATTCCCCTCACGGTGACGATGTGTGAAGCCCATTACTGGTATCCCCTGCTGTGATATTTCTGGAAAATTGCGGTGTAAAACAATACTCACTCCTTTTACCTAAAGAGGGACTTTGCCCTATTGTCTGTTGCCTATGTTCGGAATGTGGCACACAAGCCAAGTTTGTTGAAATCTATTATAAATTATCTGTAAACAAATGTTTTGAGAATTATCATACTTTCAGTTCTGGCGGGAGTGATTAGTTAGTGTAGAGACTTTTTTGTGGTATCTCCGCCCCTGCTGTAGTTACACATGCCTGTGTTTGCCTCCAGGCGGACCTAGCAGAGGGGGTGATCCTGGTGAAGGCGCCGCACCTCACCAAACTCTCCACCAGGATGAAGCTGGATGAACTGACCACAGCCAGGGACATTGTGGCCAAGTTTCGCCGCATCGCAGGGCCACACCCGAGTGGGGGGCTGGGGGAGAGGTCTGTACACAAGCTGATAATTGAGAATAATTCATTCATGGGTTCAGTTTGTTAACTAAAATACAACAATTATGGTTTGTATGCTCATACTTTTGTTATGACATACATGAATTGTTTGATAGGCATTTCTTAAAAGTCTTCGGATGACAAAGTAGACCCAATTTATGGATAACAACTTCTTTAATATACTGTTGTAGTGATGTTTTGATATAGATCTATACCAAAATATCACTATACTAGTATATTAAAGAAGTTGTTATCCATAATTTTGGTTTACTTTGTAATGAGATACTTGTTTGTTAAAGGTACTCATCAAGCTCTCAGTCCAAGTGATGTTTAATCATGAAACAAGGATCACATTATCATGCTATATTTAGCATCACTGTGCTTTTCTACATGTGTCATTATTGGTATTTCTGCACCAGTGCAGAAAAGGAAATCTTTAGGTCACATGTTACTTCAGAGCTTCAAGCCTTTGGGTGTGAATTGATGACTTCCTTTAACTCAAAATGTCAGTTAGCTAAATATCATTTAAGGAAATCTTCATGTCACATGTTACTTCAGAGCTTCCAGCCTTTGGGTGTGAATTGATGACTTCCTTTATCTCAAAATGTCAGTTAGCTAACTTTCATTTAAGGGCATACATATTTCTTATATCACCATTGTGCAAGGGCATACAGGTTTCTATAAGCTCATCATTATTCATCATAATATTCACAGTGTCCATTTAGACCTGTGAGAATCCGGGCTAGAATAGGTCTTCAGCAACCCATACTTGCCGTAAATGGCGACTATGCTTATCGTAAGAGGCGACCAAGGTGGTCAGGCTCGGTGACTTGGTTGATACATGTCATCGTATCCCAACTGCATGGATTGATGCTCATGATGTCAATCACTGCATTGTCTGGTCCAGATTAAATTATTTACAGACCGCCACCATATAGCTGGAATATTGCTGAATGTGGCGTTAAACAACAAACAAACACTGTGGCCATTTCAAATGGTTCGAAAATTCAAACAAAAAGATCTGATAAAAAAAATGAAATCTTAAACACTGTTATACTGAATTGTGATTTTTGAGAATTATGAAGGCATCAATGAAGTGGCAGGTGGGTGAAGTCGTGCATATTTATGCTCAGATTGATGATAGTTTAGTGGCTTGTATGCAAAATGATAATAATGTGGCTTGCTGTTGCAGCTTCTCGTCACGAGAGCATCACAGTCATGCATTGCACAGCATGAGTTTTCGCAACCCAGACAATGCACAGTTTGCAGATGACAATGCATACCTATTTGAGGTTGGAGGCAATATAGGTAAGACTTTGGTATACATGGTTGGGGCTGAATCAGTAGGACTTTGATATACCTGGTTGGCATGGTATAAAATGTACATTATGTTGAAATGTAATCAGTAATGTTTTCTTAAAATGTCCCAATTTGTCATGTGTTCGAAAAATTAGTTGCGACCAGATTACTACTGTGAATATCCTAACACTTGTATTTTCTTATTTTATGTCATGTGATTTTAAGCTCATATTAGTTAAACTGGCAAGCCATGTTTAAAAAAGGTTTGCACATTCTCCATTAGATTGGAAACATAAGTCCAGATATATACAATGAACACTTTTTATAACCAGTGTAATTACATGATTAGTTTGCGTACTTCAGTACAGATTAGTTGACATGGTATTTCCACTGTTACATGCTCACAGTAATGTCTTTGTGTTGGGGAAAAAACCATCAAAACTCCTCAACCCTGTGTATAAGATGACCCCCTAATTCTAGGTATGAAAAACTGGCCTTATACACAGCGATATACGGTATATACCCTTCTCTCTATCACTGTTGTTATTTATGAGAAAATATCATCTTCTGTGTGATGTTAGGGCATTATTGATAAGATTGTTATACACCATTTATCTGAACAGTATACAGGTATTGGTAAGAATATGGTATACCTCTTAGGACATGGTTAGGGCAGTAAGACACTAATGGTATACTTAGTTGAGGCACCTCTGATAAGAATATGAGTTACCTGATGAGTGAGTGAGTCAGTTGTGTTTAACGCCGCTTTAACAGTATTCCAGTTATATCACGGCGTGTCAGCTTAATGTTGGAGGAAAGCCCGAAGTGATGCAGGTCTTAGACAAACCTTAGGTACTGACAAACCTAGAAACATAATCGGGGTGAACTGGGATTCGAACCCACAATCATAGGTTTCTGGCGTACCCAAGGGATGCAACTCTGCACAGTGAATCGCAGCGCCTTAGACGACTGGGCCACCCGTGCCCCCAGTTACCTGATGAAGGCAGACAGGCAAGGTAGCAGCACGTAGGAAACATCGCTGCACTGCTTTACACACACGTAAAGGAAAGATTGCCTGATGTTTCTTCTCTGTCTGTATAAATGCAAAGAACATTTTCCAGTACAGTTGAACTCTGTTGCCTTGAACTCCTGGGGCCTGGAGATTGACACATCCAATAACAGGGAGCAAACATACTCTTGGTTTGTTTCACACATTTAGCTCTTTGTCATCACAGTGCAATCACGTGATGGTGCGTGGTGCACATAAAAGAAGACCAGGTGTTGTTTTATTGAGAACGTGTCAAGTCATCTAATGATGGCAGCCTTTACTCACATCGATCAACAGTTACTTGATACAAATTTTAAACAAGTTGTGTTTTTAAGTAAAATTTTAGTTTGACTAATGAGGGTACATTTCAATTATTTTTAAATCTTGGGACTGTATGGACTGTATGGAGGAATACAACACATCCAGTATCGACACTGAAATAGTGATAAATACAGTAAGAGCATGGCCAGATCCAGCATTTTTAAAAGGGAGGGGTCTAAAATATCACAATCCTCTCTCGGTCAGTTTTACTGCCTACAACACACATTACACATTTGGTTTTCAAAATGGTGGGGGTGGGGGTTGAGAGTTAAACACAACCAGGGATTCAGCACTCCCGAGTTTAGGGCCATGGAGTTCAACTGTACATATAAGTTCTATTCACAATTATAGCTAAAATGGATAGAATTATCATTAAACTGCCCACATGTTATAGAAAATGAGCGGGCCACTGTAACTTGATAATGCCCTCATATTTCTTGACGACAGGCCATTATCACGCCCGTTGTTAGGTGACGTCATAACATATAGGGATAGGTGACATCACCTTCAATAGGGATGTCATCTGGTTTGTTCTATGACGTTTTGTAAAAGTGGGTCATTGACATTCATGTTGATTGCTGTAAATGTTTGAAAACCGATATTGTTGTTTCTTTTTATTTAATAACAAATTCTATCCATTTTAGCTATAATAACGGTAACGCTATTTTTCAGGGCATTATCATTTGCAGAAGCCTGAGGTCTTCCATTAACTTCCAATAACTGCCCGACGAAGGAGCATTTTAGCTATAATAATGCTAACGCTATTTTTAAGGGCATTATCATTTGCAGAAGCCCGAGGTCTTTTCAACCGCCCTCCTTCGTCGGGCAGTTAATGGAAGACCTCAGGCTTCTGCAAATGATAATGCCCTGAAAAATAGCGTTACCCTTATATTATCTGCTGCCCACCACAACCCTCACCCGCACTCCCCCCCCACTCCCCCCCACTCCCCTGTGATCAGTAACCACACTCAAGCCCCTTAGATTCACATGTACCATTAGGAGGCATAAAGAAGAGAATATACCGGTATGGATGTCAACTTCTTTATTACGAGGAGTACATGCTTACTCCTTCATCAGGTGATTGAATGCCACGAGGCAGAGAGCATATATATGTACATGTAAGGACAACACAATTAATAAGATAGCAAAAGGTGGAAAATAACAAAGGGTAGAAGCTAACAAAGGAAGCCAACAGATGATTAGCACTGATAGGTGATTAGCAATAGACAATAGAAGCCAACACTTAAGTATCACAGATAAGTAATTGGTAATGGACACTGGGCTAAATCAGCACTGATAGGTGAAAGGATGGACATAGCAAAGAATAAATAATAAAGAAGTTGACATCCATATATTTTCTTCCTTGTGTGTATCACTTCTAAATGCCTTTCAAAGACCTGACAGGAGGCATGCTAGACAGCAATGGTGCATGAAGTGAGGAGATCTTTTCTTGTTGCCAGGTGAACGTTGTCTCGATCCCCACACTCGGATGATGAGCCTCTTGCGGATCAACCCACATGCAGAATGGGTTATTAAAGTGCACCATAGATAGCTCAAGTCAATTCTAGAACATTTTATAGAAGACTTGAACTAAAAGCTGTATACACAGTGTCAAGGCCAGTTGGATGAAGCTTAAGTCATCTTATAAATCAACTGTCAGTGACTTCTGTAATTTTAAGAAACATATCTTCATAATGTCAAGGGCTGATGATGGAAGGGTCAAGGTCAAGTGATGGAAGGTCAAGGTTGGATGAAGGAAGGTAAAGGTCACTAACAGGATAAGTTCCTCTGTTTACAAAGAGCAGTGTGTTGGCGATGGACCTAGTTCCAACAGGTGTTATATCGGAGTGATGGAAGGTGTCCAAGACAAAATCCACGGACTGTTATTGAGGTGCTAGTCTTGTTTGAAGTGTGCACTGGTTGTATGTATGCCCTCTGATGAGGGCTGGACGGATTATGCCTGAGGAAACATCCTCCACCATGACACCTCTGTAGCAGACACTCATCATGCAACAAACGGTGTCCAACACCACTGTGAGTCCAATACTTCACTTGTGACAAAGTATCATCACTGATTGGCATGTTGTTAACACTTGTAACATATGTTGAGATTTATATACAAATATATTGTTTATGTTAAGCAAGAAAACAGCAATATCTTAAACAATGGATTGTACAAAAATTGATGTGTATAATATCCAATATTGAAAAGAATTGTTGCTCATCGAATAGACAAAATATTTTTTCATTTGAAGCCAAATATTTTGAAAGCCTGAATCTTGTCTGATCTGTGTTGTTTTGGCCTTGCTTGAAGGCAGGTTAGTTCAAAGTCAGTGTTAGATAGCGATCTGTACCGGATTAGGAGGAGGGGCAGGCGATAATCAGCTACAGTATCAGTACTTCTTGGGTTTGTACACACTACCTTCCCCCATGACCCATGAATTCATAGAGGCGGAGGGGTAGCCTGGTGTTAAAGTGTTCGCTCACCATGCCGAGGCTCCAGGTTTGATTCCCCATATGGGTACAGTGTGTGAAGCCCATTTCTGCTCTCCCCCGCCGTCATATTGCTGGAATATTGCTAAAAGCGGCGTTAAACTCAACTCACTCACTCATGAAATCATGGGGCTGTGATGTGGTGTAGTGGTGACATGTGTCTATTGTTAGTTTGCTAGTGGCATGAAGCCATGCATATCTCACACAAGTATAGTGAGTTCAACCCCGTGCATGAACCCTGATATTAAAGCAATAACAATAGTGAATGTAACAAATGTTATATTTGGGATGACACTTTCTTAGTAAAGTACAGATTCTCGTACTTTTTTTAGGTTGAGTCCCGTCCGGGATTCGAACCCACACTTGCCAGAGTGAGGCACCTAATCACCAGCACACAAAATCAGCGATCTAACCCACTCAGCCACCGAGGCTTCCACAAAAATGAAAGTCCGACAACTGGTAGTCTAGATCACGTACTTTGAGTACCCCTCTGACAAGTGTAAATTGGCACGGCTCCCATGGTCGAAAGCTATGAATACACAATGCCATTTAGAAAGTGGTCAAATGTAACGAATGTTATATTTAGGATAACACTTTCTTAGTAAAGTACAGATTCTCGTACTTTTTTTAGGTTGAGTCCCATCCGTACAATAGCGACTACTCCACAAGCGGCCTTTTGTGTTCATTGGTGATGTAGGCACATAGTGTATACAAAGCTGTGAACCACTAAGGGGAAATCAGCTTATGACTGAAGTTTTGTGAGATTTTTCTTCTTATGTAATATAGATTCATTTTTGTCATTTCTATCCAGCAGTTCAATAAGGTTATAAGAAGCAATGTTGGAAACAGATGGCACTGTTTCCACATAGGGTACCTTCCTTAATGACTGTCATCTTGTGTTCAAGGTGGAAATGCTGAAAGTTATTGTTTAATATCATCCTAGATTAATAACATGTATATCCTCTCATAAGTGGCCAGGCAAATTCTTATTTTGAGGAAAAAATAAGAAATATTTGATGAATGTATATGTTGTTATCCTTAAAATTGTGTCTACCTTGTCATCCGTCAACTTCTAAGTAATGCCTATCAAACAAAGAATGTATATTTACTTCTGAAAACATTGTGAATGGTATGTAACTGTGAGAAGATGCAGATGCTAGGTGTGATATATGCAAGTAAGTCTGTATGACTCTCTGCCTCTTTATCGCTGTTCTAGCTGGTAGGGTAGGCCTGTATCTCGGACTACAAGTTCAGTCAGTCAGGAGTACCAGTAATAGTAGTAGTTGATAGTAATAAAGCAGCATAGAGCAGAGTGCCTATCACTGTCTGGATCACACTGAAGTGGAAATACAAGTGCAAGTGTTGGCATGCAAGCAGTTCATCCGCCATCAGCACATGGGTTATGTATTTGGGAAAAACTACCAGTTAAGGGACCAAATGGTCGATCACCGTTTAGAAGATTTAGAAGATTGAATGATTAATTATTTTGTGCTAAACACTTACCAGTACTTGACAAGGCACTACATCATCAGATTTAAAGTTATTCAGTTCATTATTTTTGTTATTTTGGAGTGATGACATTGTAGATTGTGAATCCACTCTTAACTCAATACCAACCAGGTGTCCACCTTTACTGGTAGCATTCCCCATTTATGTTGTATTATTTAGTTCACTAATCTGCTGGCCAAAATATCACAAATATCAACTATATTTTTTTCTTCTTGCAAATTCAAACTAATTTCAGTAATGGAAACTTAAAAAGGTCAACAGAGAAATAACATGACTCTTTGACTTTAAAATCATTACTTCACTCGACTGACCATACCTTTGTGTTTTTTTTCAGTTTATATTTTGTTTTGACTACCGACTGTATGTTTTTTAGAAATTAATTTGTAACCAAGTAATAGGTAAAATGAGGTGTGGGTCTGGATTAAACTTAAAGCTGGATTACCGGTAACTTGTGTAGTGTCTAGGAACACTGCTGATGCTGTGACCTGCTTGTGGCACATCCTACTAACATAGTCAGTAGTCTGTGAGGGAGGTGTACCCAAGGTGTACGTACACTCATCCCTAACTGGGGTAGATGTGGCTTGGTTCAGTTTGGTACCCAGTTAAAACTCACTTTTAACACATGGTATGCTTGTTTGTGTGTTACACAGTGTATCTGTTTGTTATGAATTGTATCTGTTCTGCACAGCTTGTATGTCATGCAATATGTATGTGTGTTACACAATGTGTATGTGTGTTTCATTTGAAGGACCCAGAGTAGCAATATTAAAGGAGAGTGTGTATTTGGATGGTTAGATGGATGTTTGTTTGTATAGCAGGGAGCCACAGTGTAGTTTGGGTGCTATCTTGACTGGCCATTGGGATGCTGGTACTGTAACTAAATGGCCATCTCCCTCATCTATGTGTCATCTTGTCTTCTTCACAATACCTCCCCTACACAGACGGCTAATACACACTATCCACCCTTCTCCTTCACCAGAATATCCCAATCCCACCCTCCCCTCTTCTCAGTCACCCTCACCTCTCGACAGTCACCTTCCCATCTCGACAGTCACCTCCCCTCTCCACAGTTGCTCACTCGCTCACTCAACAGTCACCCTCCCCTCTCTCCAGTCACCCTCCCCTCTCTCCAGTCACCCTCCCCTCTCTCCAGTCACCCTCCCCTCTCCACAGTTGCTCACTCACTCACCAGTCACCCTCCTCTCTCGACAGTCACCCTCACCCTCCCCTCTCTCAAGTCCCCCTCCCCTCTCTCGTCACCCTCCACTCACGACAGTCACCAAACCCCTCTTGACAGTCACCAAACCCCTCTTGACAGTCACCCTCCCCTCTTGACAGTCACCGACCCCTCTCAACAGTCACTCACTCAAAAGCATCCACCCTTCTATTGAGTACTATGTTGAATACAGTGTTGTGTACAGTGATGTATACAATACTGAGTTGAGACCGATAACTGGTCTGTATATATGGATTATCCACACATTGCATGTCAGATCGGAGATAAATGAGAGAGCGTAACGTATGTCCAGTTTTACATATGAGGGTCCATTTCAGACATTGTGTACATAGTCTAGAGAAACCTCAGACAACTGCTCTATGCCTCCAACATTCCACCTGCCTGTTGCTCTGTTGAGTTGACATGTTTGTACCACCTTGCTGTGAAATTTTATATTTTCAGATGTTTAGAAACTTGTTGATACGGTCCCAAAGCGTGCTTGCTACCAGTTCACATTGTTAATATATTGCACCTGTTGTTATATTTGTTGATAAATCAAATGAATCATTTGAAAATCTGGTTGAAACAGATCTCATGGCAGAGTGTTAGACATGAGCAGTAGTGGATGTTTACTGGGCTTTTAATGCACAGATCACTATACTTGTGTATGTAAACATCTCTTCCATCAATCATTTTGTTTTTGTAATCTTCCATTACTACGATGTTGGGTATCCATAGTCATAGTTTTAATCTTATTCCAATCTCATCAAATCAGATTTTTACTCTGATACATTAATTTTCTGCATTAAAAAAATAACTTTGACTTCCAAATCAAGTGAAAGTTCCATGGGTTGAGCCAATCAGATGTCAACTTTTCAACATTATTCAGCATCATTTTTTTTTACAACCTTAACAACTGATTCAACATTTTTAATACTTTTTACCAAATAAAATCCATAGAAAACAACATTTATTTGTACTCCCTTTTATGGATGGCATCGCACTCAGAAACAAGAGGGTGTATAAAATACCTACAACAATGTAATAGCACAGACTTTATTATTTACATTCAGAACTGGTAATTTCGTTATTCCCTTTTGGGGGATTTTTTTATCTCAACGAAAAGAACACAAATATATACGATTGATAGTATTCCCTGATGGTGCAGACGACATGGCGCTCAGGGTATATATATATCCACAACATAAATAGTGCTGCCTTTCATGTATTCCATTCAAAATTGCTCGTTTTGAGACACAAAATCAGACATGATGCCCTGAAAACTTTGCTCCCTTTTCCAAGAATTGAGAAGCTGTGATGCTGATTAGCTGATAAGCTAATTGGAAAGTTCATCTGACGCAAACTGATTGTCTAATCTTCACACCAAGAGGTATCTTACTAGAGTAAAAGATCTGATTGTAACTTAACTGTCAATCTTGGCAGTTGAACATCTCTAAATCACTACAAGTTAATGTCAGATTTGCTAAGGTTAACATGAGGAATGCCTATTTCTTTTTTAACAGAAAAATTAACTTTAGAAAATGTGAGTCCAGGGAAAGGGTGTGAAATCAGTAGGTTATGTTTAGCGACTATGTTGGCATAGTGGAGGAAAGGAACGGAATGGAACAAAAAAAAACATGATTTGGGAAATGCATGAGAAAATCAAGATGCTGACGATCAGAAAAGTTCTAAAGAAATGTCTAGTTGTTATGTTAGCTCTCCCTCCTGCAAGTACACGGCAATGTCATGCAAGCAGGTAATGAGCTGAGTTTATTGCATAAATGTGGCCCTGTAGGTCTATGTGTATGTGTCGCCATCATCCTTGTTGTCTCGACTAACTCACATCATCATTACACAACTGCGAATAGAAAACACAAACCAAAGACATTGTCATTCCAGTTTCACAGAACCAAAATAATGCTTGGCTACTACCATTGGTATTTATGCTGTGAGCGTGAAGGGAGAGAGATCCTGGAATGGTTGTAGCCAATTATGAAATCCATTAGGTAGGGTGCATCTCATCTACACCCATGTAGCCACAGAAAAATGAATAATTTTTACGTGTTTGATTGCATTGCAAAGGTACTGTTAATTATGAATCAAGATATGCTTTGTATGTGTAGTACACATGACACGTGAAGTGCAGCGGTACTCATTAAATATATCATGTTTCCTGTAATTTTGACTTTTTCCTTCACTTGGTAAAATGGCAAGATCATGTGAATGGCATTAGGAGGAACTATCCTTCGTGGGGCATGATGCATGATGAGTCAGGCAGTTACTTTGATCTCCCTTGTGTGCTCTCTATTTAGAGTGCCAGTTTGAAATAGTTCATACTTGATGTTGCTGTAGTGCTGCTCTGTAAGGATCAGCTGTCGACACTATGAAAGATCAGGTGTAGGTCACCACCATCACTAGTGTTGAAAAGGGGATTTTGAATAGGCATGGAAATATATTTTGTTCAGCTTTTAAGCGAAATTCATGCATATTCATGGACCAAACCACTTTTCAGCCACATTTCATGAGTGTAAAAAAATGTAAGGGATGTAAAGTAATGTAAGGGGGATGTAAAGTAATGTGAGGGAATTAAGGTAATGTATGGGAAGTGAAGTAAAGTAAGGTAAGGGAAGTAAAGTAATTTAGGGAAGTAAAGTAATGTAA